ATTGAACTGCTACTGTGTATCACTGATAGTGATTTGCAGCAGTGTCTTCCATTAAAGTAAAGGGTAATTTAGCACTTGAAAGCCAGGCCTCAAAAACAAAATAAAACCCTTTTCTTTTTCCATGCCTAGGGTGGGATTCATCTCACCTCACTGTAGACATCGACAGTGTGGACACATATGGTAAGACCCATTACCCCAAGCTCCCTTTGCAGTCAATACGGGGAACAAGCACTTTTAGGCCATGATTCATCTGACCTATTTACATGTCTGCTGTAGGAGGAGATGAATCACTGCCGAGACTAGATGAGTGCGGAGGATAAAGGGAGCCTAAGATGGCCAGCTCAGATGTAGATGCTAATACAGATCTACAGTTTGAATGTAGACTTGCAGTTTGGAGTGACAATTTTTCAGAGAAGACTTAAAATTTCCTAAGCCACATTTTCCTAGTAGAATGTGTGTGTATGAATACATTTATATATACATATATATATGTATATGGTTTTTCATTCCTGCAACAGAAACATTTGCAACAATATCTTTTGAAAACTGGCCCTATATCCTCTTCTCCAAATGTTCCACCATCTGAAGAGCTGCCATTTTATCTCTCTCTGTCTCTGCCCCTCTTTCACACATACAAACATGTGTACACATTCTATGTTTCAGAGCTGGGCCTTGGGAATTGTTGGCATTAATTCAAAATATACTCCTCTGTGTGTGGTAGCCAGAGCTGTTAGACACAGGCAGATACATTCACTGGTTCTGTTTTTTAAAAAACCCAAAGAAAAATATGCAAACAAAACCATGAAATGAACATTTCTGAATTAGCTTCTGTTTAAAATGAACATTTTTAAATTCATATTTTCTGCTTGAATCTGTTCTACTCTGCCTGCAGCCTCGGTGAGGCAGGGCATTGTAGGAAGATGAACACCAGTTTCAGGGAGACAAGTCGTGATGCAGAGGGAGAGGGAAGACAGGCTTGATCATCTAAGAAAGGGTGCAAGTTCCCGAGTGCAGCTGAGAGAAAGACAAGAGAGACGTAATCTACAATTCTGTGTAGAAGATCAAAGCTGAAGGAGTCTGGTTTATGGGGAGTGAGGATGATGCCTTTGCAGGTATGCTTCTGTGGTTACCGTAGGATAATGTCCCAGTGCATCTGAACACCCACCATCTAGACTGAATATGGCATGAGGGTAATATTGTTATAAAGGAAGGAAGCAAGTCACCCTTTTGCAGAGCTTTGCAGTGCTCAGCTGCTGCGGAGGAATGCTTGGTGTAGCTACAGCAGCAGTAGACAAAACATCCCTCCCATCCAGCCGCTGGCACACCACACAGCCATCACATAAATATGTGAGCACCTGGTTAATCTGTTTGCTTGTGACAGATCTTGGCATGCCCTCTCCTCTGACTGTAAAGCTTTACTGACTAGTGTTTAGCAGGATTTTTTTTTTCCCCCCTACAAGCTCTTGTCTGGCATGGGAGGACTTGGAACAGAGAGACACTGGCTCTGGCAGCAACAGGAAACTACATTTTGGATAACCCTTTACAGTGCAGGCTTTGCAACCATTTAAGGGCTTTTCTGTGGGGATCAGGAGGAAGTGCTGTCTGTTATCTCAAGTCCATTGCAGTCGGAAGGGTGACTGTGGCTGCAAAGGCCTTTGGCAGAGGCCATGAGGATCTGAAGGCTGCCTCTGAGAAACAGGCACGGGCTCATGGTTCCCTACCGTGCGCTGTGAAGAAGCGGCTTTAGGAAGAGAGTGCTCTTTCACTGGTCATCCCAGTGATCATTCATTAAATATAAGGCCCTACAGGAAAACCAGAGCTTTGTGTTCTCCATGCCTTCTCCTGCATCAGCCCTGATGTCAGTAGTTTCGAACCATGGAAGTTAAATTAAGGTCAGTGCAGTCTAATAGGCAAGGGAGAGCAAATGTGAACAAGTCAAGGTAATGAGAAAATACCTGCCATCTAGAGCTGTCATAAGCATGAATTTACATCACTCCCTACGAAATAAATAAATTACAGCCTGTGGAACGTTACTTTCCATGGATGCAAAACTTTGCTCATGCCACTACCAACAAAAAAGTTGGCCTCCCTGCTTTCCACGCAACCAGTGGCTTCCACCGAAAGCCCCGGAGGGTCGTGCTTGGGCACGGAGAGACATCTGCAGCCACTGCCTGCTTGGGCTCCGCGGCTGGAGAGGGATCTGCTCGGCTGCATCCCCCTGCTCCTTGCCGTGCTCTGGCAGAAAGTGTTTCTCCCAGCTCTGGCAGCACCACAGCCACTTTGGGAAGCACACGACTTCCTCAGGAGACAGCGTTTCTTACTTGTGCTGCAGGCTTGCAGCAGGCACAGCGCTGAGGCAATATTTATATCAGCTTTTGTAGCATCAGTGCAGCAGCTGCAATTTTGGGAACTGAAGTACTGGCTGGAAGTGGAAAGAGAGGCACAAAGCATACCATGCCACACTGAAATCAGGGTGGAAAGAAGGAAAAGGAAAAACAAGGAAAATCAGCAACCAGCCTCCTCCCCCAGAGAACTCATCGTGTTCCTGGGTGCCAGGGGTGCTGCTTGCCCTCCAGATGGTTACCGCGGGGCCCATCTGTCTAGGAAAGTGAGTCAATGGAAATTGCAGCTCAGGATGCCAATAGTGGGACTGGATCTCTCCCCATGGTGTGCCTGTGCTCCTTGGGGAGCGGGACAGAGGCACGGGAGTCCCCGGGCAAGTCGGCTTTCCCGGCCACGTGCCCAGCAGCCAGCAGGGAGAGGAAGGAGAGAGCTCGAGCCCCTGGCCCCTGTGCAGCGCAGGGCAGCACTTGTGTGCTGGTTAGGGAGGCTGCCTCCAAAACATCTGCAGCCTGGTGCCATGCCTGTCATCAGCCCCAGGAGGCTCAGGAACCCGGCTGCAGGGCTGTGCTGGTGCAGCCACTGGTATTAGAGGCCTGGAAGCCATGGCTGGCTGAAAGAGAGTGGAGTCCACTGCGTCTCCTCACTCTTTCATCCACCCTGCAACTAAGGCAAGTAAGTGCCCATGGCTGGTCCCACATGTGTAAGAGGAGCTCTTTGCTGCCCATGCATGCTTTTAGGAGGTGACTTGTACCTTTGCTGCCAAACAGCAGCTGCTGGCAGGACAGCGGGACTGAACTTTTCCCTGCACACTACTTTTTATCCACAGAACTCCACTGGTTTGTGAAGATATGTCTGACGGAGCAGGTGTCACACAGTCACCAGTTATCTTAGAGCTTAGTGGAATTGAACAAAGTTGCTGTGGAGCTAAAAGATTTCCAGCAGGTGCTGCCTCAGACACTGTTTTTTGGATGATACACACTTTGTCATGAGCAAAAGCTGAAGGTTATTTGCCCCAAACAGAGCTGTCTTGTTGCAAAATACCTTAACTCTCCTGAACTGCACATGGCCTCAGCAAAAAGGTCCTCTCCATTGGGCCACCTGTGAGCTCTCTGTGTCCGTGTTCCCCACAGCCCTCTGAAAGGGCTGCCATGAGGCTCCAGGCAGGGGAGGCAGCAGGCAGGGGAGTCACCGCTGAATCTATCTGGGAGTACTCTGAAAACCAACACCTGCAGACAACACCCGGAGACAGAGACGCTATTCAAGACTGGCAACATGATGTGCATGGCTTCTTAGGCCATGTTCCTCAGGAATTCCCCTCCGATGTCCCACTTTATATGCCCTTGTGCCATGAGTAGCTCTACTCCCTCTCCCTGAGAACTGAAACTTCAATGCCTAAGCTGTTTTCTTAGTACAGGCACCCTGCAATGTTCCTGGTGAGTGGGTTTGGGGTGAGACAGGCAGGGAGAGGGAGGGAGTAAGCAATGACATGCCAGCAGATCCTCAGAGGTGGAGGGGGGGAGGGCTTGGCAACTCTTTCAGCACTGTCCTATTGCAACAGGAGGGAGGAGGATACGCAGAGGTTACTTAAAAGCCCCCAACGTTTTTCGGTGTTTCTATTGCACTTCAGAAATTCTGCAAGGAATTCTGCAAAGTAGAAGGAAAAAAAAAATACTATCTGAAAAGAAGGTACCCTTGCTAACTAAAAAAACTTCCTTTAAAAGCTTACTGCTATTAAATAATTGCTAGATTTTGAATTGCTGTTTTCAGGAGCTTTGGGAAAAAGTAATGTTCTCAGCCATGAATATTTTCTTAGAAGTTTGGCATGGCTTTTTCATTGCTGCATGCTTACACTGAAACAGATGTGAAAGCAGTTTTGACTTGCTCAAAGAGAAGTCTCTGATCAGCCTACATCTGAGATTTCCCTTTAGGTCATTAGTGGGAGAGAAATAAGTGGATAAGTGCTTTTTATATTTTCTCCTTTTTTTTTTCTCTCCCCTTTCCCCCTCAATCTCTCTTTCCCCCAGCCCCCCTTCTCACAGTTTCTCAAAAGTGGATTTTCTAGATGCAGGAGTTGGCCCTTTAGATATTGGGTGTTCGTGGGCATAGGGACAAAAATACAATTCTCAAGTAATCATCTACAGACTGTTGTAGGATGTAGTGCTTGGGATGATTGCAGTATGACTTAGAATGTAATTTTTACTGGGGGGAGGTGGTATGTGATGCACTTTCTGGAAATATAATTTGCTGGTTTGGATTCAATCAATTCTATTCAATGCTGTTTTGGAGGGTAGGAGAGTAAATGATTTTCTAGTTCTTTAACCTGAAACTCCCTGATGTTTTTAATGCCCTGTTTCTCCTAGGATAATACTTCTGTGTTAGACTTCCCTCTCTTTCTACCGCCCCCCTTCTTCTCTTATTCATGTGTTTTGACAAACACAAAATGCCTTCCAATCCTTAGAGAGCTGTATTTCATCATTGCACTGATGTTTTCTGCTTCTCAGTTTTTATGTATGTGAGGCTAAAAATATGTAGCTCTCTGGCACCCCACACTGTTTCTGGTTTCTCCCATCTTACATGTGCCACACAGGCTCATGTTTGTTTTTTCCTTGAGCTCTTTCTTTCTTTCATGGTCTTATATAAAATATTTTTACTACAGGATGTCTGAAACAACAACCACCAGTGAAGAGAACAGGAAACCTCCTCTGAATGGGAGACGAGCCCTCCCATCAAGCAACTCCAATGATGAAGAAAATGAGGTCCCTGAGATGGAGGCTTTTGGATTGATACCTAGAGGATTTAATCCAAAAGGTACGGTGCACAATTAAAACATGAGTCTATTTTTACATCTTCCATACTCACCTCTGGCCCGATTTGTGAATTAAAACCAGACCAGTTTTCTCCTTATATGTTTTGTTATCAGATAGCTTTTCTTGCTGCTCATTAAAAACTTGTTAAAAAACCATCCTGTGCATAGAAATGTTACTGCAGGGTTATAGGTAGGG